CCCCCCCTGGGAATCCTAGTTCCGCGATACCTCCCAACCCTACGAACCCTGCCCCCCTCTCCCCCGGGAACCCCCTTAGGAAACCCTACCCCGCGATGCCGCACCCAACCCCACGGACCCCCCTCTCCCCGGGGCTCTCCCCCCTGGGAATCCTAGTTCCGCGATACTTCCCAACCCTACGAACCCCCCTTCCCTGGGAACCTCCCCCTTAAGCGATCCCTCCCCCCAAGCCCGTTTCTTCAGCCGCATCTGAAACAAACAAGGCAAATCAAGAATTATTAGCATGATTAGCAACAGGTGACAAAACAAGCTTCTACGTTTCTATGTAATCCCTCATCCACGTTGTTAAAAGTTCTGTGCTATGATCATCAGTGGCTTGGCGTGCTTTGCGATATATTGATTGTTATGCCACATAAACCTATGGAAAAGGATCGATAAACAGGGTGTTCGTAGCGAACACCTTCATAATCGATTCTTAACCGTAGGTTTGAATGGCATATCAATCGATATGTCGCAATTCATGCCACTCCACTGATTATTAAGCTGGATTTATGGATGCTAAAGAGAACTATTTGCATGCAACATACTTCCTTTTAGCGTGCATAAGTCCGATATCCATTTGTCCATTTATCTCTTGTCAAAATTCTAGTCAAGGCACCATGCCAAAATGTATCAAATTTTAGGTATTAGTTTTTCAAATTAAAATTGCCGTTCCGTGTTGCTTTTTGACTATACCATGCAGCGTTGATTGCAGAAAAGTGGTAAAATAGTGCTGCATCTACACTATTTTGCGGGGGAAACGAGGCCAAAGAGGACTTTTTGATTTCTTTTTTTTTTCGAACTTCTTGGCCTTGTCTTCTCAGCAAAATTGTGTGGACGCAGCACTATTGTACCATTTGGCCTATTTTACTATGAATTACTATTGTACCACCTTCTTACATACTGTCGCCCTTTTGACTTAAAGGCATATTTCAATTTCCACGTGAGCTCTATTTCGCATATGAAACCATGCTTTTTGAGGCTCATGCGGAAATCGAGATACGCCCTTACGTCAGAGGAGCGACAATGCGTCCGGGCTACGTTTCTTTGCGGTTTTATATTTCTCGATAATTTCAAGTTTGCATTCATCTGTAGAGTAACTGAACTGCATCACGCGAAAATAAGTGAATTTTTCTGGCTCACTTAGAAAAATTTATGGCATTTATGTCTTTGCTACAATAAACCGAAAAAGCTAACTCCTTTCTACATGATTCAGTCTAATTACTTTCAGTTGAATGCAGTATTGTTCGATAGTATCACAAGAGAGCCATGCAGAACTGAAAGGAATTGCAAATACTTTTCATCTCTTTCAACAACTGAGGGCATTCAAGTTAAGGATACGATAGAACAAATAGGTGCACATTTTGGAGGGCACTACTTCCGTCTTCAATGGCTCATCATGCGGAGCATTTTCTTCGTTTTTTGCAGGCCTGAAACAAACTAAGAATAAAAAAAAGAATGATTAGTTGGAGCTTAACCTAACTTGAAAATAAAAAAATTATCAGAGAATTAGTTTTGTTCATGTAAAATCTGCTAGTGTTTTTTGACTTGTGCCATAGCTCCAATAATGGGGTTCTCATGTACGTAAATATAATAAAAATAAATAAATAGAATAAATTTGATAA